CTCACCACACATTAAAATAGTTTATTTCAGTTGCGAATCTGTAATAGTCTTAAAACAAAATGACATTATCAGTGCCTCTTCACAAATACAAAAACAAACAGAAATTAAAAAAAAGACAAATTTGCCAAATAACTTATTTCCCACCCCCCCAGGAGTATCAAAAGTGCAAAATATTTACTTTCTTTTCAGTCCGCTCTCCCGGCTGTCTACTAGTAATGATTCCTGGCAAACTTTCACTGAACGTGGGATATCTAGGTCAGCCATCATTAGGAGGCTGCTGCATATCACACTCAGTCAACGGAAAAGATTGGGTATGGTATTTAGACTCTAGGCCCTTTGCTGTACAGATATTTTGTTTCAGCTTCTAGCAGTGTTACTTAAAATGGAAAGGAAAAAAAAATTCGGTTTCTGAGAGCAGTATATTAGCCCCGTGTTTCCTTAGTCTTTGGACTGAAAAGCACCATGCACATAGACAGAGAATGGCAAGTGCATTTTATTTATTGTGATGCAACTGAAGGGCAAGCAGTGAGGTCAGCGGGTAAGAAAACTGTCCTGGGTTAGTGGCCTGGCAATTTCTGAAAGAGGTGGGGGGAGGTAAAGCAGAAAGATTTAGTTTCTAAGCGGCAAACAAAGGTTCAGGAGCAAACATCACCTGACCAATATCAAGGCAGTGCTAAACAGAGGAATCCAGAATAGGTTTGGGTTGGCTTCAGCTCTCCATAAAAGCACAATGTACTAAAAATCATGGGGCTGTACTTTTACAGAGGAGTCTAGTCTGATGTAGTATAATTCTGTCCTCCATAGGTTTTACTGTTATAACTGCAATCTGCAGCACTGTTCAGCTGGTTACTGAGCGTGCGTTCCCTTACAGACCTCGCATCAATAGTTCTACACCCAGAGCAGAATTCAACCCTGTAAAAGAGGGCTGGCTAAAGACTTATGAACCATATCAGCCCTTAAAATATGCTTTAAATAATACCTACTGTTTGTTGTGGGCCATTGCTTGCAGATATCATAAGTGGGCTCTTAGTTTACAGCTCTAAAATCTGTGCTACTTTCTGATTAGCAGAAGGGACAATAGCCAATAGCTTCATATTCCCTAACCCACTAGGGAAGGCAGTTAGTTAACTGCTTTTATGAGCATTACAAATTTTCCTTTTCAGTCTGGATCCCTCTGCAGTGTTTGTAACTCAAGAGGAACAGCAGTCCCATAGCTTCCAAGACCCTATAGAGAGACTTGGTGAAATGCACAGGATCACCAAGCTGCTTTCCTTGCCTAGGCACTAACTTCAAAACAACTTATTGAGTGAAAAGTGGAGCCAATACTTAGGACTCTCTTTGAAAAATTGATTATGTGGGTTTCTCAGCACTTCCACTTCATAGATCCACCCCATGAGAGAAAGAGAGGATCTGTCTTTCCCTCCCAGAGTGCTCAGTTCACGAAGTGTTGTGTAGTGTTGGTACAATACCTCTGATCTCGGCTGTTAAAGGAAAGAGGGAAGAACGGTCTCTAACATGTTAACCTGACAGCACCCTGTGTGATTTAAAAGCACATTACGTTTATTATTAGAGTGGCCGTTTGTTGGCCAGGTCCATTCCCTAAATCAGAAAGAAGGAAGCAAGTCAATGAGCCATTATAAAGCTCTGTGCAATGTGTAGCCACTAAAGTCATTCCTAGATGCTGTTTGATCAGAAGGGGCCTCATTTAGTGGAGTATTTATCCACCAGAATGGGCTACTCTGTTAAGGCTGCTGGAAAAATAGAGTGACCCTTTTAAGTTACACCACCTGCTTATAGGAACACTTCAGAGGAAGGGGCAGAGCACTACTCACACCGAGCAGAGATGGACCCTTTGAATGAATCTGCTGTGAATCTGGAGTTGAGGATACCTCACTCCAAATCTGGCAGTTGTACAGCAGACTGGCCTGCTTACATGGCAGCCTCAGCTTCCTATAGGGATCACTTTGGAACCGTTTATTAAATTCATAGCAAGCATCAAATAAAGTGACAGTGTCTAACTGGCTTAAGGGAGGAAAGCAGTACCCATAACACAGGACTACAGTCCCCTGCTTTTAAAAAGAAACCTTTCCAATAGATGTTTGCATTTTGGTAGCAGCAAAAAAAGCATTTTTGTGTGACTTAATATTCCCACCCTAAGAAAAAGCCAGCCCCCTGGGCAGCCTAAGTGACTGGCGGAGACTGCATTTGGTATGATGAAATACGAAAACAACTCCACAGCCTAAAACCTTTTCAGCTCCTCATTAAACCAGGTGTTTGAAAAGGGGGGAAAAAAAGGCAACCTGCATGTTTAACAAAGAAACAACTGACGAAGACAAAGCAAGCGAGACGCTGAAACCAAGCATCTTGTAAACCTTAGTCTGCAACAAAACTAGTTTCACGCATAAGAAACAATTTGATGACACAGCTCTTCCTTGGGCAACATTTCAAAAATACAGTCGCTCCAGAATTGAAGCTCCTTGATACAAAGACGTGTAGGTATTGTACTAAGGATGTACTGTTGGTGTTTGAAAGGTGTCTGAGCTGACTCACTAGCAGGGATTTAAAATTTCTTTTACACATCTACTGGCTCATAGCAGCTTATGTCTACAATCTGAGGACGTGGTCAAAGGTATGGCTCTAAGATACATAGTCTAAAGATTGGCAGAAGCGGAAAGGCATCTGAAAAACGATGTACATTTAAATGGCTCAACATCTTTACAGTATGTACGGCTGTGTTACTCCTTCCCTCCCTGGTTATGGTTTACCCGGTGAAGCTGCATGTGGAAATATTATACACGGAGCATGAAACATGCAGATTGCCTACTAGCCCTCCACCATGGATAAATACCAGCTATCAGTTTGCTACAAGGGAGATACCCCCAAACACGCTCCTAAACCACTTACCACGAGGAAAGGCAATAAATAAGAATGCTTGATTCAGAGGCCTCTCAGAGTTGTGGAGGCTGGGAGATTCTGTAGGGTCTTCCCAGTGTTACACCATGCACCGAGGGTGATGCTTTGGGAAAGGGAAGGGCGAGTCACCTGACCTGCAAAATGAGCTATGTTCAGTACAAACTGAGTCACCATGGCAGGCTTTCTTTGACAGAGAGAAAACGAGCTGCAGTAGAGGTGACTCAGCGAACAGATGTGGCATGTAAGGAAGGAAAATGACTTTTTTCTGTCTTGGATAGTACAGTATCCAAATGCAAGAACATTTTGGTACAGAGGACTTCAGTGCAGTTCAACCTTCACTCCTAAGTCAAAGATGAGGGCAGATGCTTCTAATCACTGGGCCTAGGAGAACTCATCTAAAACCTACAGTCTGTTTGTCATGACTGTTTATTCTTGGAAAGAATTGTCCATTGTCATCTTCTTAAAAAGTTAGTAGTGTTCAACCCTCTTTAAAATCCCTTCAGTCTAGTGCAGGCCACGACGGGATATAGAACCTTTGTAAGGAGCCTTCTAAGAGACGTTCCATCCACAAGGACAACTTGTGTAATTTGCTTTTAACTGACTTGGCTCCTGGACTGTAAGATTTCCCTCGGGCTTCTCCTGTGTGTAGCGAGGAGTCGTAATCCTCGCAGGACCCTAGGTTTCCTCCGTCGTCCCCTGATCTGTGAGGCTTGAAGAGGCAGAAGTATTTCTTGTGGCCATTTAGAGCCAGGACGTAACCAGTGTAGTCACGCTCCAAGAAATGCTTATCGTACTGGTTTGGAATGGGGGCGGCATCTTGTGCAAACTCCAGCAGATACTCAAGCCACTCTCTGTGTTTATCAAGGCTCAGGAAGGAGAAGTGGAGAGAGCTGCTCCTGCAGAAGTAAAAAAGGAGCTGAATTCAAGCATGTCTCAAGTCAGATCAGACAACACAGAAGACCACAACACTGGAAACAGAGCATTGAAGTAACCTTCCCCTTCCCTCCCCCATCCAGATTAATTTTAGTACTAATGACTGGCACCTACCTGTCTGATAACCTTGGAAACCAAAGGCCTCTACGAAGAGCATAATATAGGATTGGTGAAGAATCCTGCACCTACCCTGTGAATGTGTAGACTTCTAGGGCAAACTTCTGAAGCAGGCTGGTTTTGGTGGGGTTAGACAGGATCAGGACCACGTTCATATGACCTGGCCTCAGGCGCACCAAGTTACTGTTATAATTGACATCCGTTAGCTCGGTCACTTCGACAAAGCCCTTCTTGGGAATCCGGCTGCAAAGAGACAAGGACTCCTGAGTTAAAAGGGAACAAAGAAGTTGTAGACTCTGTATATAAAGAAAGGCTGACCTCGGCTGTGTTCACACCACTATTTTGGCCAGAGAAACCACCCTGCCCCATCTGTATTATCTTGATGCAGCAACATGAGGGAAGCACAGAAGGAGAGACAAGTGAATGAGCAGAGTGATTCCTAAAAGAA